TGTCTACTGTTCTCCGGGCGCAATCCATCAATTGTATATTATAGGTCCGTAAATTTAGATTGATTTTGCTTTGAAGTAACATTCCGTTTCTCCAACACAGACCCTCTATATAGTGTCGCTGAGAAGTTCGTCGGTGAGCTCAAGTGGAAGTTTTAGCTCAATAAACGGTGATGCTAACTTTGCTAGACCATTTTTCTACGCAGCGGGTAAAGAATTTATGGCAGCCTTAATTTATAAAATAGCATCAAACATAATGTTGAACGTGGTGCCATCTACATTAAATTCCATTAACATCCTCTTACGATACTGCGAATTAACATTATCATATCATAATCCGTGAAAGTAGATGTGCAAAATCAGGATGAAAGTCCAATTTTAGCACAGCTGTTTGTTGTTGGTATTGTTGAAATTGCCCGAAGAATTTTGAACAAAATCAAGAAAGTTTTGTGCTGTCGTCATTTGACCATTAAAGTCAGAGTCCGAGTTCTACTTTGTTACATATGTGATATGGCCAATTGTTCTGTACGGCTGTGAAGCTTGAACAATTGAAGAAAATACCTGCCGGCGCTTAGAAGCATTTGAGATGTGGTGCTGTCGTCGCATGCTTCGTATAAGCTGGATCCCGAAGGTCTCTAACGAGAAGGTTCTTAAACGAGTTGGGAAGTCGAAAATCTTATGCAGAATTAATGTTGTTAACAACGGAAAGTTGCGTACCTGGGCCACGTGTTGCGCTATAACCGCTACCATCTCCTTCAATTGCTTGTATTGGGTAAAATCCAGGGTAAACTACGTGTTGGTAGAAGGAAGGAATCATGGCTTTGCAATGTTAGGGAGTGAACGGGTAATGCGACAGCGGAAGAGTTGGTGCATCTGGCATAGGACAAGACGCTTCCAGAGACTGACGGCCAACCTCCAGTAATGGAGAGGCACTAAAAGAAGAAGAAGTTGGTAAATGCAGCACTTTAATATAGTAGAAGTTAAATTATTTACTGGTGCGATGAGTCGGGCGAAAGCCTCAAGCCAGGTTTGCCAAATTCCTTGTATCCCCTCCGTAGGTACGTACCTTCTTGACAATGATTGACTAAAGTTGACAGTTTATGCTGTCAGTTTAAGGTAGTAAAGTAGTCAGAGGCTAATATCGTATGTTCTCATTATTACATAGATTCATTAGAAAAAGATCCCGTTTTTAAACATTTTTACTTAGGATTCTTAATTTATTTTCCTAAGCTTTCACGGATATGTTAGAATGATCTATATTGTAAAAACCTACTGTATTAAACGTACCAACTGTACCAACTTGGCTCTACCATACCATATGTCACATATTATGAGAATCATCTCATATGGCCGAGGCCGAAGCCTTACCATGCGCAGAGGCGATGAGAACTTGGAGAAACTAATCGTCGTTGGTAACACAGAAGGCAAGAGATCATGTGGCCGCGCAGCAATTAGATGCAGTCATCGTCCTTGAAGCTGTACCATATAATAAGACGCTGGACAGAAACCAGTGGCGACAGATGGTCCGCACCAGACATTTCCTTGCTGACCATGAGCTACCGACTTAAGAGAGAGTTTCAAGTTCTACTCAAGAACTTTTGCGTTTTCTAATGTCGGTATGTCACTCGGAATAATAACAGACAATTATAAGTATTTACGCTATACGCTCCCGAAAAATTAACATTTATGAAAATGGTTGAAGAAAATTTACATTTCTTATCTAAAATAATATTTTAAGAACTTTTAACTAGTGTCTATTATCAGTATGATTATATGCTTGGATGTTGGCGACATATATATGTGAGCGTGATGGCGACTATCACACATCATTAGTATTTTAGTTTTTAACTTTATACCATACTTTACATCAAATATCCGAATACAAAAATCTCTTACCGAGTTAGATCGCGCTTGAGTATTTATTTCACTTGGCTAACACTCATCTTATCAACTAATATAGTTTCTTGGATAATTTTTAACCGATTTAGATATAACGGAAGAATGCTGTTATCAATTCGACGTGTAATTGTTTGTATGTTCAAGCATAGTTCCGCCGTCCATTGACCGATCGACCGATCATAGTACTTGATGACCATTCACACTAGTATCGTCATACAAAATCCATACATTAAACTTTAATATAACATTAAAACTCGGCCCGACTTCCAAAAAAAACCTAATATAATCTTCATCATTTTAAATAAATAAATTATCGTTAAGCGCAGTGTTGGATAACGGTTACAACCACTTTCACCCTGAGGTCGTGGGTTCGATCCCCGGCTGTGCTTGGACTTTCTATGTGCGCATTAAATACTCGCTCGTACGGTGATAAAAATTATCGTGAGGGATCCGGGATGACATCTCAAAAAAGCGAAGGCATGTGTCAGGCGCAGATGGCTGATCACCTACTTGCCTGTAAAAAAAACACGAAACTGATACACTAAAGTTAACAGGTTGTAGTGCCAATGGTTATTAATTATCGTTTAATACGGTGATTCTATTAAAAAATACCAATCAAGTTAAGAATTGTTATTGAATACTTTTTATTGGATTTTCAGTTCTATTTCTTAAAGAAATTTATATTTTAAGAATATCTTTGTCTGGCACTTGTCGCCGTATCGTTGATATCGTTTTAGGAAATGTAATTAAACCTTACCATATAAATAAAGGGTAACAAAAGAACAGTAAACATTACGACTTTATAGCACTTAATTTAAATGCCAAACTTTAAAAGTCTGATATCGGGACCGCACTACAATCATAAAACTATTAATGACCGTTGGTTATTAAACGCAATAACTGATAAAAATTTAGGAGTTTTGTTTAAGATTAGATAAAACTGGTTTTATGTACCAATTCCTGTAGTGTTGTTTCCTCTATAAAATTGCAGTTTTTTAATGTTAAAATAAAGTTGAGTACAAAATTTTTAAAGTTTCATGGTTACAAAGACAGGTATAACAGTTTATAATATTCACCAATATTACTATGTAATATTTCACTAAGTCTAAAAATAGACAATAACGATCTACCCTTATGTATTTATACACCGTATTTCTTTTTAAATATTTAATAAATACCAATAATAATAAATTTAATAGCATCATTTACCGATAAGTATATAATCTGGTCCCAAGGCAAGTGGGTAAAATGTCTTTTTTATATGGCATTAGACCTAACGGTACAGTTATAAAAGAAAGCACTAACATAAGTCCCGGCTTTTTAGTCTTTTCGCGAACTACAATTTACGCTTGCACCATGAGGTATAGGCACGCAAGCTTTTGTTAAAAGCAAGTACCGAGAACTTAGAAACATTTTCTTCGCATTTCTACACATAATAGCGTCCAAATTTGTAATACATAATTCAAAGGTTGTTTTTTTATTACCTATTACATTACATTATTACGTAAGTATATAATTGATATAATATTTTTTATTTTCAAAAATGGTTAAAGGAGTTACTCTACTATTAAAACATTTTTATGCAATAAACGTATAAAAAATTGTTCGTTTATATACTTTTTTAAAATTAAGTCTCACCTAAAATCAAAGACAATTGATTTTAGAAGGAGGAAAGTCAAAAACTTAGTCCGTCCTGTTAACGAAAGTTATTTACACAACTTTCCATTAAAAATACATAGGTAGGTACCTACTTTTATCCCGTGTTATAAAATACGATGTATCGTTAAAATACTATTGAAATAATTTGTAAAATTCATGCTTTACTACTAATACTATACAACACTCAATGAGTAAAAAAATAATTACAAAGTTCTTATAAAATCACCGTTACCACAACACGTTATAAAACTATTGTAGATTATAAAACTCAATTAAAGTACATTATAAAATGTATACCTGAGTGAAAGACGTTAAATAAATGAAACTTCTTCGAAAACTTAATAAAGTGTGAAACTAAACAGTAAAAATTCGACGTCTTCGCATAAATTTTTCGTTTATAACCGAAGTAATTATAGATGTCAGATCGTTACGCATTGTAATCGGCAGAGTATGCATTACAATTAATTATAATCTTCACTATGTAATGTATATGGAAAACTGCCCGTTTTAATTAGATGTAATCAAAGTTAGACGATTTTTGTTAGTATAATAAGTATGAATTTCAAAACTTTCAGTAGCTCGATACATTTTAATTGGAGTCCATGACGGTTGAATGTAAGTGGCCGTGATAAGAAAATCATAAAATTTAATGTATATATCTTTAATGTGAGAGATTAAAAGAAAGTTGGGGTTATGTTCAAGTGACACGCATTTTAGTTTCAATAGATTCATATAGAGGGAAAACAAATATACCAAACCCCCAAATTGGATCATACCTACGTAGTAAAACCCATATAGGTACATTGTTTCTTTGAGCACCAAACCAGGGCCCTCTAGAATCGTATCAAACAAGCGTTTGTTTTACAGTACCACAGAGGCATTAACGTTTTTCTTCATACGTCATGCAAAATAAGCTAAATCTAAAAAAGAAATAATAAAAATAACATGTTCTCTAACTGATACTTTCATCCAATATTGATGTGTAATCTAAACACGTTTTTATATGTACTTACGTGTAATATATATATATGAACCTGCATCAAAATAATACTTAAACAATATATGAATTCCTATAATACCTATAAAGCTTTCGATATTCGCTTTGTAACAAAAAAACAAAGCATGCACCATTGTCTCGTCGTATAAAAGGACAGGAAGATATAAACTCGCATAGACTTCTTTGGAAATCCCATTGTATACAGAACTGATTTGCTAGTATACAAGGAATAATAAATGATATGCTTATATTTTATCCTTTACATTATAAACGCAATCCTTTAGGACTTCTTAGGATATGGTAAAGAGTTGAATATTTTTAACAGGTTTTCGCGAAGCAAAAACTAGAAGCTATGTCTCTACCAAAGGTTAAAGATGAGATGCAAGATGAAATGAGTCTTGTTATTTGAGACAAAGAGTCGTGTCCAGGAGGCAGGACGTCCGAAACAATGCTAAAGGAGCGGGAGAGCTCGGAGGGGTCACCCGGTGTGCCTGATGAGTGCGCGGGATGCGGGGGCAGGATACAAGACAGGTGAGTTCAATTAAAGATCTTTATGGTGAATGTCCATTATTATTTACAATTAACAATATGTAGAAGTGGATTTTGTATATACATAGAACAAGAACATATATTCCGGATCACCATTTTATTTTTCTTTATTTAGCATTTTGGGGTTTGTTTGACAATTTGGTTATACCAACTTTTCGAAGTAATAGAATAGTTGGAGTCGTGGTTCGCGAATTAAAATCACGATACAACTTTTTAGGTTTTACCTGCTCGCTGTTGATCGACAATGGCACGGCAACTGTCTGCGATGCTGTGAGTGCCGTCTGCCACTGGACTCCGAGCTGACCTGCTTCTCAAGAGATGGAAATATTTACTGCAAGGAGGACTACTATAGGTAATTTTTATAATCTGAAGTATTTTGGGACAAACTTGAAAATTACCTAACTAAGCTGTATTATAACACTACAATAATGCTTTTAACGTTTAAATGCATTTAAAAACTTTGTTGGTTAGTACGACAGCATAAATAAATAAAAGTCGTAATTTTTTATATGCGATGGTCAGGATGAAAGAATTTCTTTTCTGATAATCATATTACATATGTTATTGGGACACCAACAATAACTACAATTAATATATATATTTTTATGTAATAACTGAAAATGTGTAATTAATAATTTGGTAAAGACAAACTTTTTTAAAGCTTAACTTTTTAGCCTTCAATTTTGTCCATAAGGATAAGCACATATTGGAAGTAATATTATTATAATTTCTAGATATTTTATGATAGGTCCTTACTCCGGCTGTATGCAATATTCGTGAAAACATCGGGACCCACTTACACAAAAATTTAATAAAAAATTTCAACTATAGTAACTGTTTTGTCTTGTTTTCTGTCTTTCTTTGTCAAATTATTATGTTTACATAACGTTTGTGTTTTTTTGTTTTGTGTGGTGGAAAGAGGCAGTTACAAAGCAACAATTCGTTGTATTTATTTCACTACAGTGTTCATATAACATTGAGGAAGAGGCTGGCCAATTTCATAATAATACGTTAAACGGTAACTGCTGCGATGATTAATTTTATTAGTCAGTGATTGAGACGGGAGTTAAGATAATAATGGCCGCATTATAGGACATATTTTAAAGTATGCAATAATCAAAGTGAAACAATTTCTTGCACATATTTTCTGTATAGAATCTGGCTATGGAAGATAGAAGTGGAGTTGTTAATACAAATTGTAAATTAAAATACAAAAAATAATGAACTCCTTTTTTAAACTCTAACACAACTAGAGGTGTTATAACTGTTACGTGTCTGTTGGTGTCGTAGCTCCTTAACAAATGGACGGTGGGCGGTTTGATTGAGGTGGTTCTTCATTAAAATTTATTAAGGCATTTCAAGGTCATCAGCTGTTTTTTAGCTGTGGCAGCAATGTTAGGTACTTAAATTTTAATTTTATGATAATCTCTCTTTTCTATACAGCGTAAAAACAATTAAACGCGATAATGACGATTAAATTAATTAGACTAATTATTATTTTTATATCTTTAATTTAAGTTCGTAAATTTTTGAGGGCTTGACTCAAACAAAATCCTGATACGGAATAATTTCAAATGTATAAGTGAGTCATCGACATATTATTTTTAATTTAAACATAATTTGTGATATTTTCAATTATTTGCTAATGCGAAAGTGATAGCGCATAGCGACTAGATTTAGTTTATTTTATTTTGCTAGCGATATTAGGGTAATTTTACCTTTCTTTGTAATTTCAATGTTGATTTTAAACAATCGTTTTATTAGGTTTTGAAGACACTAAGAAAAATTTTACCTACACTTAATATATTGTGTCAAAAAATAGTTCTGGCCCATCTTAGCAGGCATAGATATCGTGCCTTCATGTATAACCAGTCTGCGGGATACAGGAATATATTTACTGACTCAGACATACTCATACATAAAATCGATACGATGAAGAGATTAAATATGGAAGAAGAAAAAATGAACGTTGGTTACTGCTGAAACGTCAAGATCCAGGAAAACTAATGATGACAGTTAATGATAACGAATAATTAACATAACTCGAAGACATACTGACAGTTGTCACGTGTCGAACGCCGTAATTATAGTTGCGAGTGGTTGAAGCATGTTTGTACTGTCACTCAAACTCCAACCACACTTGCGAGTTTCACACACCTGTCGAATTTAATACATTATACATCTGTTCTATATCCATAGAAGATATCGGAAAATGAATGGTATTTTAGAAAAACACTTTTTTACCGGATTTGAAGTTATGTTTTATTATAAATTTACAATTATTTTACATAATTTTAAATTTAACTGACGTTTTGCGTGCTTTACAGCGTGCGTGGTCACGGTGACTGAAGACAAAAGGTGTTGAATGTCAAAAAATATCACAGCTGTAGAAAATGTTGTATTATCTGTATCCCCGGAGTTGGTATCGACTAAAAGATGGAGGGTTTTGGCAGAAATGGCTCACGGTGTCCTCTATATTTATAAAAAAACATTACTTCAAATCCGGTAACAAAGTGTTCTTCTGTTTTTTTTTTGTGTCTAAAAGTTATGTCAATAAAAGACAATGCTAATGGTATTTTTTTATGGGAATGGCAAAAAATTATAAATTGAGAAGTTGTTAAATATTTGGAATCAGATGGCATTCGAAAATTACGTCAATTGTTTTTTTAAAGTATTTGTAATACATACTTTGTTTAATACAAAGCAGTGAACCAAGGATTTATTTATTATTTATTTGTCGGATATCCAGCACTAATTTAGGTTCTATACCGCGTTACAAATTTAATATTACATAGGTAATGTTACGTAGAGCTAATAATGTCTGACAGCATAAACGCTGAGTTAAATACTAGCATTTTCGGTCTTGTTCTATTACACCATATGCTTTGTTCGAGGGTAAGAAGTTGTTTACCACATTATGTCAGGTTAAACCCCTAGCTTTTAGTGATTCCACATGGTTTCAATGATGCTTGATGTCCCCAACATAAACATTAATTACAAACAAAGACATATATTAAAAATTTATTTTAAAGATTTTTTTCATTGAGTTTCAATAAGTGATTTTAAATGTACTTTTGGGAGATAGAATTAGACCAGAATAAGAGTAATTATTTCACCTTAAAAATTGGGTTCAGGGAATTAAGTTCTTGTGATTTTTTGTTATCCTGAGTTATCTGGTTTCAGTTATCGCAGATAAGGGCTAGTTCTTCAACATGAACGTATAGTTCTTAAAAATAATATTACGTCGTGATTCGTATTCAATTATGGGTGTTGATGTGTTGCAGTTTATAAAGCAAATCCCATTTTTATCACAACAGATTTCTTTTGTTCTAGATTATTCTGCGTGAAGCGATGTGCTCGCTGTGGAAATGGGATAACAGCTAACGAGTTAGTAATGCGAGCGAGAGATATGGTATATCATCTAACTTGCTTCACCTGCGTGGCATGTGGTAGCCTGCTCTCTAAAGGAGATGTATTTGGTATGCGCGATGGTCTAGTCTACTGCAGGCCACATTACGACAGCGCTTGCCTGGATGAGTATTGCGATGAAGATATGAACATGTACAGGTAAGTTTAATAGAAATGAATTGGCAATTTTTGTTAGTATATACAAAGTTGTTAGAACCCTACAGTAGTAGTAGCATTGTAGTTGTCAGTATGGGGTTAAACTGATTTTAAGAGCAGACATTAATTGCGCATAAAGAAAGATTCGATGCCGGGGTTTGAACTTAAGGGTTGATAATCACACAGATAACTGGTAAATAAATAGCAAATAAGTATTAGTATCATTAAAAACATCATCATTATCACTTTATAAATAAATATATTAATATCCTTGACGCAGGTGTCAGGATATGCACAGTGAAGGTGATTCTCCATCGCAATATTACTCTGGTGGGCCAAGTCAGAAAGGTCGTCCTCGAAAACGGAAAAGCGCTCAAGGATCTCCTGACGATTTGCAAGTTCAAAGTATGCGTATGACGAACACCGCGTTGGGTAAGATCTAATAAAATATTGCATTGCGAATATTCTTATGCGAATTTCAAAGTATTTTTTAGTGTAATTAAAAAAAGATTTCATTTAATTATTATTCTGTTCGAAAGAAGCTTACACAAAGCCTATTAGCTTCGTTCACTTCGCCTTTATAAAGCCTTTGTCTCTTTGAAATATTCTCTTAGATGGACGGTATAAAGGAAACACCATACTATACATAGGTTTGTGAATATATAAAAAATCAGTTTTTGACAGTCGTTTAAAATTTATCAGAGACTCAGAGAGAAGGGAAAACACGATGGTTTCCCCTCGTCGGCGTCCCAGATGTCAATTCATCCCAGTCCGACCGTAATCACGACTAATGAATAGACGGCGCGCTGTCAAAACTGCTTTCCTCTCTTTCCAACGCGCTTTTTCCTCTATGGATAGAATGAGAAAAATATTCTTGAAAAGGTTCAGTCTGTCGCTAGGGTCGTCTGGATTATTCTTTGTACCGTCGAAATGCGAAGTTCTCGTTGAGGTGAATTCAGGTTGTGTGACTTCTCGACCCCGATTAATCATTGCGAGTCTGAATTGGCTACGGGACGATACATCGTTATAGCTTCCACTTTGCGCTCAGCCACATCGCAGTCTAGACGCAATCGTAGTATCCATCACAAGCAATTAACGTTTTCAGTATCGCTCACGTTTACTACCGGCTTAAATACTTATTAAAATACTTGTTGGGTTTATGATTAGACATAGGTACTAGCTGACCCGACAAAAGTTGTTTTGCCATGTATATTATTTCTAACAAACATTGGTTTAGTTCAATAAAAATAACTATCTGCTACAGTAAAAATTAGGGGTTGATCGTAGAGGGGTGAACATTAAGGGTTGTATGTATTTTTGTATGTTGATAATAAAAAAAATAAGAACAAATTTTTTTTTCTAAAAATTAAAAAAAAACATTTTTTGGGGTGGACACTATCACTTAGGGGTTAAAAAGATAGATATTAGCCGATTCTCAGACTTACTGAATATGCATACAAAATTTAATTAGAATCGGTCAAACCGTTTCGGAGGAGTATGGGAACGAACATTGTGACACGAAATTTTTATACTTATATTAGATAATACAACAGTTTTAAAATATTTCTGTTTTTAACCGAAAACATAAAAAAATAACACTTTTTAGCGATGCAATCACATGATGTGTTGACAAAACATTGAGTAGCGCGCGTGACTTCCATAATGTAGGCAAAAGCCTCTTGAAATTTTCCGTGCCTTATCGATTATCGTGTGATCTTGCTCATTTTGCACCTATTCTTAGTGTCCAGTATGCAATTTTAATCTTGAATTATTGTTTATAAACTATATCAACTATTCATTGATCAATTAAGTCGTAGTACTTGCTTAAACAGTGCCATTACAAAGTTCGATATTTTGATAATTTTTAGCCATCCTAAGCTTATGATAATTGTTTTATTGTTATTATCATAATATATATATTAACATTTATTTTTTCCAATTTAACACTAAGTTAAGTTTTTTAAGTTATACAGTCCTACGGTATTTTATTTTATTTTTTGTTCCCTCAGCACTTGACGCCTACTTACGTACGTCTAAACACCAGTTAAATGATAATTTTTATTTATTAACTTTCACTTTTTGTTTCCCTAGGAATCAGACCTTCTCAAAACATAACATATAGGTATCAGCCTAGCTAAACGATTTAATAATACATATAATCAACTTTCTATACGAAGGTACAAAATATACAAGCGATAATGATAACTACTAATTGATAATATGTAACATTAATGTTTGGCCTATCACTGATTTAGCTAATTTAATTTTATAATAAAATTGGATTATAAATAAGCCTCATAAACCAGAATTAAAAATTATAGCCTAAACAGACCTCCCACTTACGAAATTAATTAATTAGGCCACCGAAACAAGAGCAGATGCACCTTGTATATCAGGCAAAACCGACAAACGTTAGAACGAAATTTATTTTAATTAACAAAATTTAATAAAAAGCGGTAATAGAGTAAACGTTGCGTGGAGCTGGGAATGACATTCCTTGTTTATCAGGTATTTGATCTGGCCAATGGCTAAGTTTCGAAATACTTGTTATACGCTGTATGAAGAATAGAATTTTAAATATATTTATTTGCGCGTATGTATGTTGAAGGTTATCTGAACTGGGTGTACATAAATTTTAATCAAAACTATTTGTATACACGAAATATTTAATAATGCAAATTGTTATTTACATTAATATAAATGAAGATTTTTTATAATGTTTTATTTACGATGTATATTGTAGACCTACCAACAATATACGAGTTTTAGACATGATTTAATAGCATTGCATTGTACAGTATATTAATTGTAGTGTAGAACGCTATACTAATTCTAAACTATAGTGAAAAATGACATTTGAAAGAACTATGACCACGGGACTTTATACAATAATAGAACTTAATAAAAATGGAGTTTGCTTTTATTTTTAATTTTATATTTATTTAAGAAATTTGCGCTCTACAAATTTCTCACGATAAAGTAATTAAAAATGTGTGTTAAGAAGAGATACCTATGTATATGATTAGCAGGAAACAAAAAACTAATTTCCGTATTTAAACTGTTACGTAATCGTTAAGATTGTGATACAGTGATTGGTTGATAAAGAATGAGTCTCAGTGCCTAAGTTGTACGCCGACCATATAAAAAAAGTCATTATCTACTTGACAAATAAGACTAATAAACGAATCAAATATTGTGTTAGTTTCTTACTTTATCCTTAAGACTTTACACAATAAGATTTACGTCTCAATAAATTAAAAATCCAGTCTGTAAATAATTGCAAGTAGTTTACGAACAAATCTAAACTGTATTGCTCAATTGTCTCAGAAAACGCTTCCATTAAACAATTTGTATTTCATGATACTGGAAAGCTTTTGAATTAAATATCGCGGCGCCTGTCGTAATAAAACACGTACCTTTGCATTTAAAGCTTCTCTACTTTTTTATAACCAGTCATTAATATCGAAGTCTTTATGACCACGATGCTTTATTACTGATTTTTTTGTGTGTACAAAATACGACTTTTACGTAAAGTCGGTAACATGTTAATTCGGCCCATAAAATAAAACAACTTTAGGTTGTTTGAAATTCGAATCCAATTCGTCAATTTTATGGCGTGGGTACCGAATACTCATGATCGTGTTTTGTTTTGCTTTTAAAGTCTAAACGAGGTTTAGAATATGCAGGAATTAGAAATCGTTGGTTTGATATATTTCTACGTTACATTTTTTGTTGATTAATGATGAATAATGAACGGTAATTACCGATCATTGTCTGAAAGCTGGTTGACGTTTTTGACGTTTGTTAAGCGTTATACGAACATAATCATAGCAGTAATGTGTCTGTAGCGCGGAGGGAGTTGTAGTTGAGGTTAAACTCTTTTCGCTTCGCTTTTACTAACTCATTAAAATACATTTGAATACGCTTACCCGTAAACAGTTGTAAAATGTTATACTATTCTTACCTAATTTTAATAGTAAGAAACGTAATATTAGCACTTCGGTTTATCATTGCCAAATCTAGCGTGTCTCCGCCGCAGCCACATCCTACACTTTTTCTTAACTTGGTGAGAGGAAATTTATAGATTGGCTACGATCGGTGATCCGGTTGTGGTGATATTGTGAGAGCAAATTAGACCAAATTTTTTATAACCATTTTAGACTTAAATCAACAGACCAAATCGGGACATTCACCAATAGTTTATATATTGTAAAAAACATTTTTTTAGTTAACATTAACAACGTTTTGTTAAAATTATAAAACTAAAGACGAAATAACAGTCGATACTTATAAGCTGTCAAAACAAACGGTGTGAAATGATAAATGCGATGATAATTGGACGTGTTCTTGATATTTAAAGATATCAAAAAATAGTCGAAGCAAAAAGACCATTAATTAAATTTTCTCCCCAATGAAATTGAATTTTTGATAGCGGGTGGCCTGACACGCAGCTTTCTGTGTTCATCGATGTGGACAGGCCCTTTAAAACAATAACATGTAAACACTGGTTCACTGCAGACAGAAGTCGTTGAATACTTCTAAATATTCATGAAATGGAGAAGAAACACTTTACCCGCGTAGCCGTTTAATTTTTGTATTAGGTTAACAGACAAGGCAATACACTCTATAATATACTGATAGCTAAATATTATTAATATACATATAAAAAGTTTTGTCTTAGAGGCACAGTATCTCAGAAGCATCCTTTGAATTTTGATTCTAACGAAGGTGAAGGTTTTATTTCTCTAGTGTCCAGGCATCTACTTTAACTAGTGCTAAGGTCTTTAACGTGGACTGTACTTGTAACATATTACAGTTTAGTTCTTTTTAAATGTAAATTATTAGTTGAATTTTCTAAAAATATTTTTTTTGAAATGGTGCAAAGCTTCACTCTTAATAGAATAACAAAAATAATACATACTAGGTACTTACTTATACTAAATGTCACAAAATTACTGTAAAATCAATAATTACCCCAATTTAATCTTTATTGATTGGCAGCCATTACACTCAGACAAAAAAAATCCAATAAACAATATCCATAGCCCTAATGTCGAAAACTTGAAATTGCGTTATACCGCTTTTGAAAGTTATGTTAAACCCTCTATGTAATACTCTATGGAGAGTAATGTGATATTTCGTCACATTATTAAGGAATATATTTGTTACAGATTTGCTACACCGCGGAGATTTGTCTTCGTCTATGGAATCACTGGCGTATGACTCCTCAGTCGCATCCCCTGGAAGTGCAACCAGCCACTCACAAAGAACCAAACGTATGCGCACGAGTTTCAAGCATCACCAATTGCGTACAATGAAATCGTACTTTGCTATAAATCAAAATCCTGATGCTAAAGACCTTAAGCAGTTGGCACAGAAGACAGGGCTATCTAAACGTGTACTTCAGGTAAGGGCCTAGTTTAAATCGGTAATAAAAATGCGTTATTAATGTGGTTGATTGCAACCGTTCAAGCGAGGTAGCATTTTTTATGATCTTTGATTTGTTTCCGTCCCCAATACCGTCACTTGCGGCGTACTATAAGTCTCTTTTAGTATTACAATAATTAACTGTTTTAACATGTGATCAGGAACATGATATAATGGATGGCAAGTGCTTACAAACATTTTGTAACAAATACTTCGGTGATTTAAAACAGTGACAGAATATTTATTGGCAGATTTTCTTATCCCTTGATTTGAGAGTTGGCAGTAAATGTAAATTTAGAAGCATAATTTTTTATTTGACTTTCATAAGTGTACATGGTGTAATGGTTGCAGCTCCTTACAAACATTTTGTAAAACAAAAAAATGGCGATTAAAAAGAGTGGCGGAGAGTTTATTACCAGTTCTTCTCTCCCGTTCTACGCCCTTAATTTGAGAACTGGCAGTAAAATTAGAAGCATTAATATGTATTTCTTTACTGACAAGTCATAAGTGAACATTATGTTACCTATATGATTAAATGAATAAAGAAAAGAAAAGAATTAAGTTACATACATCAATAAATGATATTTTAATTAAAAATAAATAATAATAGACCACAAGCCCATGAACAAAAAATACCTGTGAAATGACCCAACGTGAAATACGTTTAGAAGGCTGTTACTATATCTGAAAATAACTCTGAGCACTATGCCGTCATTTCTGAGCGGTACATGTGAGTACGTGAGTGAATGTAATTTCTCAGATACGAAGGACGAATTTCGACTAATTATTAATGTACGGCTTTGTTATAAGTGTATAGATGATTAAAAATAAATGTCGAAAAACCTAGTGCCGTACTAAAGTGATGGTGCCGGAAGTCGGTGCAAATTTTTAATTCGACGATAGTTGCAGAAGCAATATAGGTCATTTATTACTGTACGGAATTTGTGTAATTCTTTTTGGACACATATACAGATACTTTACCCGTAAACGCCGTACATATTTCCAGCGGAGCGGTCGAAAGCCAAGGGTCGCAACCCTACCCCTACACCCATATACCCTAAGGTCATTGTAAAATGTACGGCAACATGTTCAAAATATTATTTAACACGGACAATAATGTTTTATAATTATGCCGTCCAAAAATTATAGTTAATATTTGTGTAAATAAATATTTATCGAAATTTCAGGATTTACCGAGCTCTTACTGCTGTAAGATCAGAGAATAATGTACGGCAACTTGTTTTTTTACATAATGTTACTAAATATTACCGTTGTACCTTATAGCCGTTCATTATAAATGGTAACAAATAAAAATATTATGATAAAAATATATGAAATTTCCGAAATTTAGATGATTTTTCAAATATTCCTAGAGTAATATGAGGAGTAATATTTTCAAAGATTATTGTTATTTTATATGTAACAAATATAAATAAACAAAAAAAACCAGATGCCGTACATTTTACTCCAGATTATTCTTTACAGCTGATAAAAACTTCGACGACGTTTGAGGTGTCCCTTAAGGTCATTAATAACTGTACGTATCTGAGTATACTACCATAAGGCTGTAAAGTATATTTACAGCCTTATCATTCCAGTAGAGAGAGGTAAAGGAAAAATATTTTTAACAAAAATAAAAATATAATACAGGGCGTCCCAAAGTAATAGGATATGAAGGGAAAATACCTTTAATATCGTAGATAGGGTATTTTACTGAAAGAAGACTTTATGTTAATTTTAAAAGTTAGTACGTTAGGCCAAAAAACCTAATAACTTTTCTAAAGTAACATAGTATTTTAAAAGAAAGGAACTGCATGAATATATCTTTTTTAATCAAATTAAAATTTAGTACGGCACTAGGTTTTTCGACATTTATTTTTAATCATCTATACACTTATAACAAAGCCGTACATTAATAATTAGTCGAAATTCGTCCTTCGTATCTGAGAAATTCCATTCACTCACGTACTCACATGTACCGCTCAGAAATGACGGCATAGTGCTCAGAGTTATTTTCAGATATAGTAACAGCCTTCTAAACGTAATTCACGTTGGGTCATTTCACAGGTATTTTTGGTTCATGGGCTTGTGGTCTATAATGTTTGTTTATCAAAATATTCTTTGTTTACAACAAATCTAAAAATGCACCCAAATCTGAAGCGAGACCAGGAAAATCGAGCCGGCGCTTTTTATATAAGAACTGACCCTATGAATTCCCTTTACTAATATTTTTTTGAGAATTTGTTGTTATTGTTGTATTGGACCAACTAAATGATACATATTTGATTTAGGTGTGGTTTCAAAACGCTCGAGCTAAGTGGCGCAGGAATATGATGAGGCAGGAAACTAGTCATGGACAGATCGCTCCGAACGGTAACGGAGGACATAACAATGGTAATTTGGTCAGTGTACCGCCCCCTAATGTCCGTCCTATGATGATATCAGAATCTCTTCAGTCCATGGAAGATCTCAGAGTTCACACTCCACATCCGATGGCGTTCAATGAGATGTACTGACCGTAGAATAGGTACTCGGTATGTCGCCACTATTACTAATTTACAAGTGTGAAAACCCAAATTGTGCCCACAAGCACCAATATCTCGTGCACTTTATATCTAGAGATTTTGTTTGGAGTTGTATTATTATACTCGTTTGGAATGCCTAGATTAATCACTTGGTCACAGTTATTTCTTAACTTAATATATATTATTAAACAACAATATTTCTTAACTTATGGGCAAATGGATTTTTATGACACTATTATAATATTATACACACATTTAAATGTGAAAGGGGTCAAAAGCCAAAGTACAGTACCCTCTTCTATATAAAACATGGATTAAGGTTCTATATTTCTAGATAGCGCACATATGCGCGCTTTATCCTAGATATGATTTTATTCATAAGTAATTGTGTGACCACCTCACGCGAATACTCTCTTGTTTATAATATGTCGACGTGTATCAAACATAATATAGGAAATGTATGGGACTATAGGAATTTTTCAACATTATCCAATAACCTTTTTCAATTATTTCTAGTGAGTCTTATCCCATTTTGTCTGCATACCTATTTTATATAGTATAGGCAAGTAGTTTCAAGCTATACAACATATATATTCATAGGTTATAGTGTCATCCTATTGATGTATGTCCTATTGATCTGTAATTATTATTACCATTCGTTTTGAAATAATTTTTAAGTAAAATTACTATGTTGACTATGCATTTCATTGACTTACATTAATTTGTATTACTTTGTATGATATATTTATTTAACTGTTAATGGATATAGTCTTTCATGTGTTATTTATTTATGTAAATAGTTTTATATGGTGACATATTATTCTACATGTCTTTGTCAAAGTATCAATTATAATAAACTTATACGATTTTGCGTGTAATCTTGTGTGTAAGATGTTTATGTTTAATGCATATAACGCGGTTAACGTTTTCTACTGTATATTTTACAGAATTAATGGCAATTCTTTTCTACTTATAATACCTTCATATGATATTTAACACAAGTTTAATCATAGGTTAGATGTAAAAAAACTAAACGTTCCAATTTATTAAGTGTAATATATATCGAATTTAATATACCTTTTACTGTAAATACAGTCAGACTAGTCAGCCCTTAGTGAATAGTACCTACCCAACTGTAAACTATATGCGTAGAACCTAGGTACTACTTCTAAATAGTAATATCAATACCTATATAATAATATACATTACCCCATTAGAATCTGTCTAGTTTTAATAACACTATCTTTTATTTTATCGTATAAGTGTTAAGTATTAAACCTTTTTTTTTATATTATTTATATAAATATGTAGATGTTTTGTAAAGCAAGCCGGGGTGGTGAGAATGTAAATCGATGATGATACCGTATGTTTAATTGTGATTGGCGAAAGGGACGTGACGTCATTATGACGCATTCGTCGTATATATCTATAGTTTTACATCCTTTCTGCCCTAGTCACAGATTACGGAGAGGTGAAGCGTTCAATTCTTTACCCTAAGAGTACTAACACCAATGGATTTTTCCTTCCATGTGCACGGCATGTCTTAGACCAAATAATCGGTGTGATTGAAGGCTCATCATCTAATAGCCTTTAGGAATGATTAATTAAAGAAACGTACCTCCCATCGGCTATTGCTTTATATAAGCATGCCCGCGGGTTGACTGAGGTGTTACTGGAATAGTTAAAAAAAAGTGTTAATTAATTCACGTTATGTTAATTAATTTATTGGCATTGTATAATTCGCCAATCTTCTTTCAGGGTGATTCTTATTTATTACGTGCATAATTTTTAAGTTTAATGTGGTAAGATAATCTAAGACATATAATCATGTATTACGGAAACTTATTTATATACTGAAAACCTAATATATAAACACTAATCATAACAGTTTGTTTTATTATAATTGTAAGAATATATATCATCCTCTGTTCAAACATAATTTGATACCCAGAATATAGTTGAAGTGTTTCTTTCAAATCAGGACATGGCTTTGAAGTTGTATCGGTTTGGAAATACATCCACTGGCAGCTCTGGCAGGTTTCACAAAGAGGTAGTGCACGGGAGAGAGTGCCTTACAAAGCGCCTTGTTGTGGAACGCCAGGCGTCGAGTTACATTCTGCCTCGACGTCGAATGATGTATCGGATGCTCTTGTTTGTCAAATTGAATTAATTACTGTAACATATTTAAGGAACACTATGAAAACAGCTAAGGTTTAGGATTTCTGAAAAGATCGAATATTCGAAACATACCGCTATTAGCAAGGTTTGTATTGTAATATAATGTTTATTATTTTATATTAGGATCTATTTTATAAAGCACAAATATTGTATTTTAGTCACTAATAATGATTATCTAGAAATGAAATTTCGGTTATGTTAAAATACCTTCACAAATTTAATATAATAACCGAACAATTAAGTGCGATGCACGATAACGTGTATTAATTAAAAATTTCAGAGATCAACACAATTTATTCAATTTGATTTTCGTTTCTTTTATAAAGTAAGGCCATATTAAACATATAAATAAAATTACATATTCATATGATGACCCTTGAGCAGGCTATGTCTTTAACCCCATCTCAGTACTGCATGGATCGATAATTATTTTCATCATGATCATAACTGTTTCAATATTTTTTTTAAAACTTTCGTTAGGAGAAGGAAACCCGCTCGCCTAACCCAATCGTCTTGTGTTAAGCACAGGATAACCGACTTCCCTATAACGCAAAATTTTAAATAAAACATATATACCACGACCAAAGATATACCATGTATTTTTTATTGTGACCTAGTTTAACCTTTTTTCTGTTTTCCAGTACAAAATAAAATGTAAGTACAAATCAAATGTATTTTCGTTATGTAGATAAAGCAGCAGTGTTGGCCTAGTGGATTCAGCGTGCGACTCTTGACCCTGAGGTCGTAGGTTCGATAACCTGGCTGTGCACATATTTCTTTCTATGAGCGCATTTAACATTCGTTTGAATGATGAAGAAAAACAACGTGACGATCAGGCTTGCCTTAGACACAATAAAGTCAACGGGGTGTGTCAGGCACAGGAGGCTGATCACCTACCGACAAAAGATCATCTATCTACTATTAGATCGACAAATGCTCATGACACCTTTTCAGAAATCTGAGGCCCAGACCTAAAAAGGTTGTAGCACCACTGGTTTTCATGACCTATAAAGCATGATTTCATAGCGACTATGAGACAAGGATCTATAAGTTTTTATGTATAACAAATAAACATTTCCGTGACGTGAAGGATTCCTAGCGAAACAATAATTATTCTTGTTTGACTAATTCTAGTTGCTCTAAAATTATTATAATAATTCACTGATCTCTGTGTATTACGGGACTTCGCATCTAACGTGGTATTGATAAATATAGTCCACGAGTATAATTTCAAATATACAGTTTTGATCGCATAGCAATGATTCAATCAATAAAACATCTTGCTTTTTTACAGTAGCGTTGGAATTCATTAAAGCATTGACGTGTCATTATAAATCTAACTGAAATATTTTAACAAGATGATAAAGCTCGCGATTCTTTTAATTTTGACTGGATATTGGATAAATCGAAACATACGTGGCATCGGAAGCTAGAGTTATCTAGATTGTTTTAAGGTATTTTAATGAACACACAACGATTTGTATCCAATCGGAATAGCGGCTCGAAGGCATTTGCCGATCATTAGAATTTCGCAAAATTGTCCTAGAAATTCAGATTAATTCTTAATAAATAAATTAAATCTGAACTGTATTTGGAGCGTGTTGATGAGTTTGGGAAGCAAATTGTGAGAAATATATCGTCAATTTGAATGGGGTTCAGGTGGGAATATTTTTACATCGATATCATTATTCATTTTTCGTTAGGTTACCAAGTATGCTTAACACGACACATAATATGCTTAACATACGATGAGCCGTTTTTTTCATAGAGAATATTGTAATTCTGTTAAATTCATCAGAGCGGGATCGTACGACCTCACGGTTCAAAAACTACGCTTTACGACCAAGCTGACATTGCAAATAAAGATAACACATACAAGCAGTTAAAGGTTGTAAATAAAATACTGTAAAATAAATTGGGAAAACTGAAAGCTATTTAATGAACAGATCAGTAAAATTCGTTAAATTGGTTCAACAACTTGAAATAAATACAGTTTTTGTATTAATACATCTACCGACTTAATTTGAAAATGATTTTACAAATAATAAATTGTAAGCGCATAAAATATAACATGATAAATTCAGAATTATAGTCGTTACATTTTCCAGATTCAATTTATAATTTTTATTTCAATTTTGGAAAAGAACGAATGTGTATCATTTGTTCGGAGATTTTCATCTAGTTATTAAACAAGAATAAGTTATGCTGTAGTCTATGACCTGAAAAGTTAACTGTGGTTTATATCACTATATAGGTAAATATAATATATAGTTATATTTACTATCGCTTGTATGATATAAACATATTATGCACGTTGAAAAACTCGTTTGTACTAAGTGAACTGAGTTCTTACAAGAAAAAAACCTAAAATAAAACAAGTACGTATTATAAGATTCACGTTTAAAATATTACAATAAACTTCGCGTCCACTCTATAAAGAACTATGATCAAAAATGTAACCTGTCAAACTTCTACTGTCATTCACCGTCAACATAATGACAATACAAAAGAGCCTCTACCAGTTTACCATTTATTATCAACTGTACAGTTTGGATACGTTCATTATAAAACAAAATGCTTTCGAAGTCGTCAGAGCAGTTTGAAAGGCAAAAAGCGGTAAGACCGCCGACTTACAGAATCGTAAACGACCACAATACGGAAGCGATGCCTCAGTATCTTCAGGTTATGTGCAGACAATTCTTATAAATTATTTATTATGGGTCCTTATTGGTTGAAGCACGCGTTTATCTTTTTGCTCAAATACAATGGAGCCCTGACTGTCGTACCGGTTCAAGTTGTATGTACCTTTATCG